GAGATTATGGGGTTTATAAGAAGGTACATTTCCTAGCCAATTCGATGAACGAGACGTGCTATTATCTTGAAGAAGATCAGGTGAAGCAGGATTTTCTGAATTATCAATCGAAGCAATGTCATCAGCAGATTCTATTCGTTCTTGGTTAGTTGTTTGTTGTAAAGCTATAGGATTTACAAAACTCTCAGACATAAATGTGACCTATGAACAAAACCAAATATGAAAACAATGAAATCAATAATAGAAGATTGTATAAATTCGTGGAGAACTACTTTTAGCTAGTAAAATGACAATTCTATAAAGTAACTAATCGTAAGACAAGGTATTGTACTAAGACATACAAATTCAACAGGTGACTTAAAGTAATGCATATGAATTTTACATAAAACCCATCAATTAATTTACTTATTGAAATGATTGATGAAGTGGTAAGATTAAACACTAGGTGTTGATAGATCATTCATAAAAATAAAAGAAACTAGTATTTTTATTATAATGGATTACATCCAATGATAGAAAAATCTGACTTTCGAAGGTAATTTTGCTATTTAGACCTAATCTACTTATTGATAACTAAGTAGTCGAATACTATTAATCACAATTTGCACAAGATATGTGACTAATATAAAAACTAAAACTGTGGGCGTTATGGAATAAATGTGGTTGGTAATCGAATGCTGTAATCGCTAGAAAAACAGAAGCGCTAACTGATAAGCAGAGCAGACGTTTAAAAATAAGGCATTGTATAATCGGTTATGCATTGAATGGCGATTAAACACACTCATATTTTGCACATTTATGTCTCATTTTTATCAAAACAAAACATTATGTTTGAGAGTCAGTTGATTGCAATTCAATAGGGATGTTTTTTTTCAACAATTCAGTTCTTTGGATAGCCAACAGTGGATATAGTTACGAATTCTCTAAAGAACAGCATTCGATCGGCCAATTTATAATATAAAACAGGCTCATAACCCATCACTTTATCTGTCAAAAATTACACTAAAAGTATTGTCATTAAAAGAAAGTAACATTTCATGGAATGAGGTGGGGATTGTCTTGCTGTATGCAATATTCAATAATTAGTAAATATACCGGAGAAAAAAAGGTTATTAGCCGATATCATCTAAATAGTTTTATATGTTTAAGATGGAAAGAAAATTAGCATTTTAATCTATACTTTATAACTGGATAAAATTTATTGACAATGTGATGTTGATAAGTATGGAAAAAAATATACCATAACAACTAAATAAGCGATTAACTTCACACCTTTTTCTAAAAAAGTAAGGGAACTAATTCAGTACTCAGAACAAATGATTAAAGTTGTATTTGACAAGTAAAGAATTTGATCATGAGTCAGTCTAGCTTCAACTGATTCATGATCTTAACCAGTGAAATTACTATAATATCCACAAAACCCATCTTTGGCATAATATCCAATGTATCTTTTATGTAACTAGAGATATTGGATATTTAAATGAAAACTTATCAGCAAAAGATTGGTAAAGTCAAGAACTTTATTTTGGTTATACTTAAACAAAATTACTGAGAGAACCAGAATGAAACTGGGGATCTGAGATAGTTGTGCTATTTTACCAGCATTTTCTGGATATCATTTCATTTAGAAGAATTCGGTTAATTTACAGGGATTTTCGTGGGTTTGGTACATAAATTCACCTGGGATTTGAAAATAAATTCCATGTAAATTAACCGGCTTGTACATCTCAGATTTGTAAAAAAATCACTAATCTTAGTGATAGTATAACTCTAGATTTCTAGATTATTTAATATCTCCGATCCGACTCAAATTATAATTCAACTTGACCACTAAATTAAGAGTATCGATTTAAACTTGTTTGCTTGATAACATTCCTATGAAGAAAGTTAATATCTAACAATTGTTTTACAGAAAGCTTTTTCATGCAATACTTTGAATACATTTACATTACTTACTTTATTCAACTGACCAACCAATAAACCTCCAGAGCTGGAAATATTTTGATCCACGGTAGGCGATAAATACTGCAATCCCAAAACCGGTGCATCGTTATTTGGTACATAGAAAACATCTATTGGACCGGTAGTCACACGTATATCATATAACATTATTGAACCATTTGCACAGCCAGCGAATAAACGATTCGAATCTCCAGCCCAACAACAACTCCATATTCCCACTGGACAATGGTAAGTTTGAACAATCTGAAGTTAGTGAAAAGGAAATGTTGTCTATCCGTAGGTTTGAAAAAGTTGAAACACTGTAAATTGTGATACTTAGCTAGATGAATATGTGAACACGATTATTACAATACTATCCACGTTGTAACAAGTGGCCAGTTTATACAGAATCAAAATGTTATATCTAGATGGTTGTTTTCTTGATATACCGCGTATAACTTGAGCACTAGAACTCCAGAACCCTTCCAAGTCGCAATGAGAAGACAGAAGACAAGTGAAAGGAATGTTATTCTAGACAGTGTCAATCATAGTACAAAATTGTCAGGTATTTATAGTTTTTAGTAAGAACGAAATCATCATTACAGTCCTCCAATCCGTATACAGAGGGTTATTAGCATTGTCCAATCGGGAAGCTACATGTAAGAATTCTAGAATATTCTTGAAAAAGGTGATTGGATGGAATATCTCCGGCTCCTTCTGAGCCTCTTACAGCTTCCTCGAGTTAACCCGTGATCCGTCCTCACACAAAATAATATGATCAGAGTTTGTATTATTTTCTAAGATTCTTTGGAAATTTTAGATGAATAATTTAGGAAACGTTAAGCTCCCAAGTACGACTGGAGATGAGGGCGCGAGGGGGGGAGGTTCACTCTACCTTTCGAAATGCTTGCATACGAACGTGTGTCTACACCCGCTTTCATTTAGGAAATTTTTATCGTGTATCAATGGTGATCATTGATCTTTCGGGTTCCTGAAGAAATTAATGGCATATGAACCTAAGTGAACCTCTGTTACAATGAAAAGGCAAGTTTTAACGTTGTTTCCCTGTCATAAATATTAAATACTATAATCAAAGGTCCAGGTGCGATGACTCATTACGAGAACCTATAGAATTCGATTAGTACTAAGGACTAGATAAACGTGAAACAGTAGTGATGTATTTATTTTCCATATTCGTTTAGATCTTGGACAAAGTATCATTTCTAACTTGTCAATGTTCGACCTCATTTGCATTGTATTTCTTGTGCTTAGATTTCCGATGTGATTGACTAGATTTTTTCTTCTCTGCTACTTACTGTATCAATTTACTCTCTAGTTTTGATAATATGAGTGATATCCGGACAGATGGACATTTGTGACAGGTCTTACCCTGGCAATTACCGAATTACTGATAGGCGCCTTATTGACCAGCTTAATTTATCTTACATACCATTTTACTTCCAGCCAGTTTACTATTTCTTTCCACTTTTAATTTGAATGTTTATTTTACTCGGAAGTAAACGATAGTATCTCAGAAAAGTTTTAAATCAATAGTCAGTTAAGGCATAGTTTCTAATTCTCATCAGCGTAATTTAGTTACTTTCTTCAAGTATTCTACAATACTAATTAACGAATATTGTTGACGTGTTTGTTTGGAACTGAGTGGTCAAATTTTGTTTCTACACTACATAGTATTACAAGAAACTATGAGAATGAGTGACTTTTCCATTCTTTCTGAAACAATATGGTAGTTTCTGCTAGATAGTCAAGTGTTTTCACTTGCTAGTTTCTTCTTAAGTATTGTATTTGATACGACGCCCAAGAACTGGGCCTAACGATCAAGTCTTAATTGATTGGGCAGTAAGTGATCTACAAGCCGATTTCTTACAATCTGCTACAAAATTATGCCATACTTATTTATGCTAATAGAAGTAATGAAAGATGTAAGAATAAAAACGATGAAACAATATTAGAACCCCGACAACACTGGGAGAACTTTTGGGACATGGTGCCTGAGGTCTCCAATAACTGATTACGACTGTCTCGTAGATCACAACAGGGAAGTTAGCATGAACCGAGATTTTAGTGGCCAATGACTCTATGGATGTATCTTTATCGGTTAAATCAATTTTGCTATACATTATGAAGTCTCTCAGGACAGATAAGTTTGTCTGGAGGATACTAATCAACGAGTTAGGATTGTCCCAAATGACTCAGAGCAAGAGTGGGCCAATATACGGTACTGCTGTAACTACGCTGTCCTTTTTTAACGGATTTTAACTCCAGAGAGTATAGCTCAACGAGGTTAAATTTGTGCATGAAACGATCACGTTGATCAATGGGACCAAATGGCTTATTTACATATTTTACATAGTACTCAAAACCTATCATCAGCAGTACCCATTTAGCTATCAGCTTGATATCTTATCCAGAAAGTGGATCGATAATTATCTGTATCATGAGCGAAAATATATTATTATTATTATTATTATTATTATTATTATTATTATTATTATTAATGGCTTTATTCAATATTATATTTTGGTACAATATAGAATTCTCGGCACAGGGTATTTTAACAAGTTACTTACGCAAAAAAACAGTGGCAAATACAAAAGAAGGAAAAAAAAGGTTTAAAAGAAAAAACCCGAAAAAACTGTACAACTTTTAAAATTAGAGACATGTTAAGAATGCAGGTTATTGACTAGGTTAACTCTAACAACTTGTTCGTCACAGAGTATATTTGCTGGGTAAGGTATTATAGAACTTCTATACTTTTGCTTGCGTGCATAAATTTTAATGTAATTACGTCTCGTTCTACCAGAAGACATACAAGGAGAAAGATAAGAGTGAAGGGGATGGTTAGTATCTGATAAAATAACACCTGCCAGGAGTTTGCATGACTTTAGGTGTCTATCCACAACCATAGTAATTATGACCTCGAAAGATTCACCACACATCTTGCTAACTGCCTTCAGCACTCTCCGCAATACAGCAAAGTCTTTTCTCAAAAGCACGAGGAAGAATAATGGAGAACAGTAAAGAATAATAGATAATATGCAAGAATTGACAAATTGTAAGAGTAAATGACGGAAAACATTCGATAACAATAAAACGTGGGAAGACCAAGAGCGATCAGAGGAAAAGGTGACACCAAGATAATTGACCTTCGAGACTGTGTTTATCAAAGAGTCTCCAACGGAACAAGTATTAAGGGATCTCAAAATGATGTTTAGATTCCGTTCATGCCTCATGCTAGAGTTAACAGCTTGACATTTAGACGGATTAAGTATACGACCATTATTAACAGAAGAACAATCAATACGAGACAAAAGGCGGCATTTGACTCTGTTGATCGTGAGGTTCTATGGCAGTGTTTGTCACTGAAACGAGTACCAAAGAAGTACATTAACCTTATACAGATTCTCTACTCGAACACAACTGATCGAGTGAGAGCTTATGGCGAACAGTCATCAGAATTGATTACCTCAAGTGGTGTTCGTCAGGGCTGTTCACTCTCTCCATTCTTGTTCAACTTTGTCGTCGACGTACTTTTAGAGATAACACTTTCCTCGTCTAAATTTCCAGGAGTTAAACTTCTACCGGGAGGTTCACTTGTTGACTTAGAATATGATGATGACAGTTTTATTTGGTGAAGACGCTGACAAAATGCAGAGTCTTCTGACCACTCTAAGCAACAATGCAAGCATGTTCGGGATTCGATTCTCCCCCAAGAAATGCGAAATGTTGATTCAGGATTGGGCTGCATTGACACCCCAACTAATGATAGGGAGTGAAGTAATTGAGCGTGTCGATCGCTTCACTTATCTTGGAAGTCTCATCAGCCCTTGTGGTCTGGTGTGTGACGAAGTCTCAGCACGGATACAGAAGGCTCGACTAGCTTTTACCATCTTGCGTCATTTATGGCGTAGGCAAGATATCCGTCTACCAACCAAAGGACGTGTTTACTGCGCAGCAGTTCGTTCCGTCCTACTTTATGGCAGTGAAATATGGCCGGTAAGAGTAGAGGATATCCATAGGTTACTAGTATTTGATCATAGGTGTCTTCGAAATATTGCTCGTATATCCTGGGACCATCGAGTAAGTAATGCAGTTGTTAGGAAACGGGTACTAGGTAAGGATGGAAAATCAACTGATGACGTAGTGAAACTTCATCAGTTGAGATGGCTGGGACACGTGTTACGTATGCTCAACCACCGACTACCTCGACGTGCGATGTTCAGTGGTATAGGAGTAGATTGGAAGAAAGCTAGGGGCGGCCAGACCAAAACATGGCACAAGTTCATGAAGTCACTGACAAGTGGACTGAGTCATATTGGTAGGTGTAGACTACCTGGTTGGGGACTGCGAGATGATAGCAACCGATGGTTAGAGACCCTGAATGACATGGCTCCAAATCGTTTGCAATGGCGCAGGTGCATACACCCTTTGCGTTCTCCCAAATTCTAATCTTCTGAATTCTTCATGTCCCTTTCTATTTTATCTTTCCAAATTTATTTCACTGTATTATACTCTTCAAATAACATCTCCAAACACTAATCTTCCCGATTACTGCTTATACTCTTATTACCTCTACCACTACGGAATTTGAATCGACAACTGCATCTCTGTGCTAATGTAGTGTGGCAACTCTAACTGATGTACGTACGTACTAAGTTCTACGTTGTTACTGACTGACGAGACAAAAACTCATTCATTTCTATGGGATGTAAAGAGGAAGAAATACGCATACATACAGTGAGATCATCAGCATATTTCACAAAAGTGTTTTCTGTGGAAGATGGCAGATCATGCAGAAAAAAAAGAGAAAAGAAAAGGTGAAAGAACAGCTCCTTGTGGTACACCTTCATCAGACAGTAGAGACTCTGAACACTTTCCTCCAAATACAGTGAACTGTTCCCTTCCAGAGAGGTAGGAACATAACCAGTTGGTTATCCAGCTGTCAGTATTGACGCTGATTAACTGGTTATTAGAACGCTGTCTTGGTATAGAATCAAAAGCTGAAGTATAGTCCAGAAAAGCACATCGAACATACTTCTTACCCTTTTCCAAGCTGAACATTATATTGTGATGCAGAACAGCAACAGCAGCTAAGGTGCTTCTTTTGCATCTGTAAGCAAACTGATACGGATCAATATGCTCTTTTATCGCAGGCTGAAATGGAAGTATTAATATTTTTTCCATTGTTTTGAGGAAGGGTGAAGTTATTGCAATAGGTCTAAATTTTACATTCTTATCACCAGATACTTTCTTGGGTACAGAGATTATCTCCATCTTTCTCCACATTTTCAGAATGAGATTAGATGAGAAGGATCTGTTAAAGATGGTTGTGAACGGATAACATAGGACGTCAGCACACTTGTTGAAAAGGATGTTTGGGATACCATCAAGTCCCAAACATCGAGATGAATTAAGTGACTGGAGACATCTTCGAACATCAGTTTCAGTGAAACTAGGATTACAGCTATTATTTACACCTGTGGATAAAGAGAGCATCACATCAGATGACTGGCGTACAGAAGACTCATTCAAGTCACAAACATTCAGCCGGTTATCGCTCCTAATCTGTCTGTCACCTGTAAGTTCTTTAAAGAGTTTCCACATACTTGGAGAGCTTTTGCAAGACAAGAGTTTTTGAGTAAACATAGAGTTGAAACATCTAATCTCTAGGTTTATCAGACCATTCAGCTTAAGAACTTCATTACAGTTTTTCTCCTTGTACATTCTTTCCTTCACCCTCTGTAGTCGTTTTAGTTGTGAACATGTAAGTCGATCAAAACTTACAAAAATGGTTCCAGTGGGACAACAAATATCAAAACAGAATTTAAGGTAACAAGTGATAACATGAGAAGTGATTTCCAGTGAGTCATCTGTAAATAATTCCCAGTTAGGCGTATGAAACATGTTTTTCAGATTTCGGATATTTTCTTTTGAATAATTCCCATATTTGACTTTCTTGGTTTGATGTAAGAGTTTACTCTTCCCATGCTTTCCATATACTTTAGGTAGAACACGAACTGTACAGTGATCCGAGCTAGACAATGGAGCACGTTTACGAGTCACATATATACCCACATCAATAATGGAAACGAAGTCTACATGAACATCCAAACGAGTAGGAAAATCTACTACATTTTGGTGACCTAGTGACGTAAGGAAGCTACAGTCACATGAATTGAAATCACCACATACAACTGAAAGTGAATCACTGAAATCAGTACCAGCGAACTCAGTGAATTCATCAGCGAAAACAGATAGCGCAGATGATGTGCAGTCTGGACTCACGTAGATATTGGTAACATAAACAAATTTGTATTTATTCATATGTTTTGGACAACATCTTAGAGTTAGACAGTCGATAAAGTCATTTGAAAACTTGAAACACACAAACGAAGATCGACACCAGTTCACGTTTACAAATGTAGCCACACCGCCGCCACACCTCTTTTTATTGTTTGGTCGACCCTGACGATAAATTTTGAAATCACGTAGTGATACTAGGCAGTCATCCTGTAAATCATTTAACCAAGATTCTTGAATTGTGATGACACCACAATTACGATACATATTTTGACTTAGTAGGAATTGCAGATAGTCCACTTTGTTGATTAGTGATCGGTAGTGAGAATTTAGCAGCTCGGGAATCGACATACGATTAATGTTCATTCTCTTTAACGCATATTGCCAACCACCACGATGTTTTTTACAGTACTTTTTTGTAACTTGTGCAGCGAAAGGTCGTAGGCTTTTCATAAAAGCGCCTGAATAGGTTATGCGATTAATGGACATAATGAGAAGTTAAAACAAAATGAAAAAAACAGATAACTTGTTGAAATAATTAGATGGCAGAAACAGGTAGCCCGGATATTCAAGCAGTACAAGTCTAACACTGTTTAATCTGAACAATTTAATTATGAGAAGCATTTTACTTTACTACTCTGACACTTGTAAAGAAATTGAAATATTTCTTATGGTAAGTCTTTTTAGTCAAAATTTACCATGAATATATGATCAGTAAACAATAATTTACGTTACACATTTAACCCGTGATTAGATTAAGCACAACCGGTAATACAAAAATAACAGCACAAAGAAATTAAACTCACCGAATCATTTAATAAACTAGTAAGACGTAAAGTTTTATCTAAGCTTGCGCTTGCAATAATACCATCATGAGCTTCTGGATGAAACGCCAAGTCACGAATCGGTTGTGTATGCAAGTGTACATATTTTATTAATCTTTGTTCAGAACTATTCACCTGATGAAAAAATACATTTAAAGCGATTTGCATTTAAAATAGAATAAATATATAATAGTAATAGAAATAGACATTCAATGAATGATAAACAGAGACGGGTGTTGGCTAGTAGTGGAAGCCAGGATGAAACACGTCTTGAATTCCATTGTTAGACACCATCCATCTCTGCTTATAATGCCTGTGACTTAAGGAAATATAGAAGTAATCCGCATAGGATGCACATATGCCAACAAGGGGTTGATCAATCACATTCCTAAACGTCAATGGGCAGATCCAAACAACCAATACAAAATGAATTTATTGTGTTAGTTTCACTTGGGGAAATAAACTTAATGAGAGAAAATTGTTTTAGAGAAGGCAGTGTATCGAGTCATTAGTTGTATATGTTAACCTATTTTTTAGCCGAAACTTATGACTAGTAGTCGCTCCTTACTAATATTTGTGTCCTTATTGTCAAATTAAACTGAGTTTTGGGATCTCAACCTACCCAATGACCAATTGAGCTGTGTACTAATTATTTGCAAAAAGTGAATCAACAGTATGTCTTAGACTCTACTGTTAATTGTACTAATATCTATTATTAATTGCATTTTTATGATGATTAAATTATGTTGGCAGTGGGATTTGAGACATCTATCAGGTCTTATTTTGGACATACCAATTGTATCTGTCAACGCTCTAGTGAATATTAGTGAATTTTAAGTGGAGTATCAACACAAGATTATTTGCTTCAAACTCGACTATATAAATGCAGTAAGAGTACTCAATTTGTTAACTGTCCCCGATAAATTGAGTGATCAACTGAAGTTAGGTAATGTACGAAATACAACAAACTGAATAAACTGAAGTGATTACCATGCACCTAACTACACTAACCTTACGTATTCCGAATCCTCGAAATATTGGGTTAGTTGAAGACTGTGAAACACACAAGGTATTTAAGTAGTCACACGATGCCATAACACGACAATTTCCGCCCTGAAATGACAGAAACAACGATTTATGAACAGAAAATTATTGGTAAATCAGGGTAAATAAAATGTAAAAACTAGAAGACTGCATTCAGAATGTTATGGGTCAAAATGAACAAAAAGATACGTGTCTAGTATTAAAGATATAAAAATATCTATAAATAGGAAATTACTTTTGTAAAACTATAACGATGATACTCATCAGTCAAAAGAACACCCTAGAACCAAAATTTCCAAATAATAACCACTTGCATGAACAATTAATTGTTTTAAGAATAACTACTACGCAAACTTCTTTAACTAACCATTTTGGAGAAAGTTAACATCACGGTTTGATATTAGCTAGATGACCACTGAGAATCAAAAAGTAGCAGATTCTTTAAACAAGGGAATTAGATGATTTTTTACCAAACAAAACTTAACGACTACTCATACGGTTGATCATTCAGTACGGAAAAGCTAAGATTCTTGGTGGTGAAAACAATAACTTAAATATATGCTGGCATAAATAAACAGGAAGCAGTAATTGGCAAAATAAATATATTTAGTTAAGTAATCAGAATTCATGATGTAAATAATAACACTAACTATATGACATGAATGGTTAGGTAAAAACTACGAAAACTAGAATAACTCAAAAGAATTCTCGAAACCTGAAGTGGAAAAAATGCAGAAATAATCAGTAATTATATGGAATTTTACATGTAAGAGATTGAACAGAAGTAAACATTCTCTAAAAGTTACACAATCTAACATAGCGAAAGGCATCCATTTTAAGCGCCCTGGACATCCAGTGATCCTTAAATGTTCGCATCAGGACCACATGTTTGGATGTTGCAACCATAACAAAATATCAAGATGTTCATACAGTAACACTATTAGGTACGTTCTCACATTGGTAATAACAAAGGATAATTCGACTTGAGGTCTTTACGCCACTACAATATAGATGTTCAGACAACATACAAACTAAAAAAGTTAGAATTTTCCCTGACCAACTTTTATACACATTTGTTTTTAAAATAACGAACAAATGCTGACAAGTTTAAAAATTATGACGTCATTCAACAGTTGTTTAGATTAGTATAGGTATATTATTACAGTGGAATGAATTGAAACTAGATGAAAAACAACATTAAATATCGAAATAACTTACGACTGAGATCAGTAAAGTGTTCACTAATGTATATTGACCGTCAAAACCAGTTGAAAAATCTGAGCTAAAA